GATGTAATACTAGACGACTGCCATCAACAAGTCGAACGGTGACATTGGTTGTCGGTACGCCTGGATCCAGGACAATTTTTGGTGGTTCGGCGCCAGATTTTGCAGGCGCTTTTGGACTCAGTTTGACACCAATTTCCCCTGCACCGGTAACTGACGGACAGGGACTGAAACAATCTTTGAAGGTCAGCACTTCTGACCATTAAGCACATCGATCATTCGTTCTTACTTTCCCAAAACGAAACCCTGACCAGAGAAAGGAATCACCTTGTGTTGTTGCTCTTCAGTCTCCTCATAATCTTCTTGGTGGCGATTTTCCATTTCTAAAGATATCTCTGCTCCAGGATATCTTCGAACGAGCTCACTAGGAATGACTCTGAAATCATTACATCTTAACTAAATGAAAAAATGCTCTAGAATATTAAAAATTTTACCCCTTCATCACTTCTTCCAAAAACTGCTTATTTTCGCGACCGTCGTAAGGACGTAACTGTTCATCATTGATGCTGAAGCCGTTACGCCACATCTGCAGTCGAACAGTCTCCACCGGTCGTGCCTTGTCTTCTGCTTTATTCTCCTGGCTCACTACAGATCCGTCCAGCTTGTGACCGATGCCAGTGAACGACGGGTGCGAAGTGACGTGTTCTTCCTGAGAAGAACTCGGCTCAAATTCTTGGGCACCTAAACTGTAATGACGCATTTTATAACTAATTACAAATCTTTAGGAAAAATCATAAAGTCCAAAAGTGAACGTAAAAGCATCACACACACGAATTAGAAAAAAAAGTTAAGACTTAGTATCTCGTTGTTCAGTCCAGTAATTTTCTCAAACGTTTGTTTAAAGAATTTTGGCACATATTCCGTTTTTCCTGTTTTAGCATTTATAATACTCAACAGATTAGAAAACGAATCTAAGTTCTCGTTCAAAAATTGCGATTAAATCATTGCAACGACAGTACATTCTGAATGTCAAAATTTTTTAGCGAAGTCACTTAATATCTTCTCCTTTCAAGTGTAAAAAGCGAATCCTCCATGCTTCATTTAATGGCTCTTTTATTCTCTATATTTTTCTGTTTCATTCCGTGCGCTTCTTTCTTCTCATCAATCCTTTTTCTTCATGTTTATGTCACCTTCATTTCATGTTCTTCGTACTCTATTCCTTTCTTCCTTCCCAAAACTCGTCTCTTTCTCCTATCTCTCCCTCACCTCTTCTCTATCTTTAGACTTATTCTTCTACTTAAACGGTAACTAATTAATTTTTATGAAGATAGTTTTTCCTACTGATTGACCGCAAATCAGTGAGTACCATGAACAGAAATCCTTCAAGGCAATGTTATGAAAGATGAAAATGAACCAAAATTTGCATGCGATGATCCAGTATTTAATTGGTACGTTTGAGTCACATTGAAAACAACATAAAACATGGTTTATATACGCACAACGCAAGCAATATTGTCAATCGCATGACTGCATAAGTTTTAAAACGTAATTAATGTAATAAACATAATTAACGTAGTATATAATAGTTCCAATGTGCCTAACTGCTGACTGTCTGGCTCGACCCGAATTGAGGAACGGAAATGATCTTGAGATATGGACGTTAGCACTGAAAAGTAGGCATTCACGCACAGGCAGAAGTAAGACGATCAGGGTGTGGCTAGATTCAATCCTCATAGAGAAAGTTACAATATCTAATGACATGTTAAGGCGAAAGTTATCTGATGTTGAGGGCAAAGACAAAAGCCGCTAATGTAATGCTCCGCTGCGCTTAAAGGCCGGTTCATTAAGCTTAGAAAAAACAATTTTGACAAAAAACCAATGGAATTGGGGAACCCGTCTGTACCAAATTCCCAAGCCACCGTTGGCCCCGCCAGCGGGTGACAAAAGCTTCATGAGCTATGACAACAGGAATAAATGAGCAGCTGAAAATCTTGTCGGCAGAAATGACGCCGAAACAACTGAGAAGGTCAGCTGGTGACCATGGCAAAAACAAAACATCAGTACACTGGAAACATCTGGTTAAAGAAGAAGAACAGGAGATGGACATGGATCACTGGAGCAATGGGACTACGAAGAAGGACGACTTCGTCATGTGTAATAAACGGTGCATGAATTTAAACATGGTAGTAGTATAATAATTTAACATCGACAGTGACCACAAAATGGTGCGGATCAGGCTAACATTGGAGGAGAAGATGGAGAGGAAGACAATGCAGATAAAACATCTCAGACAACGACCGAAAATATCTGACAAGACAACACATCTGCAGCGAAGACTAGAGCCTCAAAAGCAGCTGTGACGATAACTACGGAAAGTCAGCAAAAAAACAAGCACCGCATAAAGTTACCAAAGGTGGTAACGTCAAATTCAGAGAAAGCAAAGATCTCAGAAGAAAAAAAGAATAATTTCCAACTGAAGCCAAGAAGATAGAACAGAGATGAAACACTCCTGGTAGAATACTATACTCTCTGCAAACTCATTAAGACGGGAGCAGAAGAAGAAACTTCGAGACCTTCTGATTTCAAAAATTAGAGAAAACAACCGAAGAAGCCTCAGACAAGGCATGAGAGAGTTAGCGCTTTGTCAGTTGACCGTTACGGCGTTAAAAATCTGGGATAGCGCATTAATATCTGAAAGTTGTGATACACTCCATTTGCAAGAACCTTTACCTTTCCTTTGCGTCAAAGTCACGTGATCACCACAATCGTTTCAACAGAGAGAAGTGCACTCCCGGTCATCACAAGCGAAATTCGGCATTTCACACAGCAAGTGAAGGAAGACACAACCCATGGAAACGATTCAATCACTGGAATAAGTCAAAAACAATCGTGCTACTGAAGAAGGGTAGGAAGGAAAGTTAAAGAATTATCGCCAAATATGCGTACCCATACAGATCGACAAGCTGCTAAATAGGATCATCACCAACAAAGTGTCAACGACTGTGGACAAACAGCAACAAATAGAACAGGCACGATTCCTAAGAAGCTACGGTACAACAGATAACATCGTTAAGTTAAGTCAACTTCTCAAACGCGGGAGGGAATTTCAGCTACCTCAGCGCACCCCCCCCCATCGTCGACCGAGAAATCATTCGACATCGTCGAGCATAATGTAGCCTGAACTGCACTGGCAGAACCTTGCATCGACATCTATTAAATCAAACTGTTAAAAAAGTGAAATCCTGCTGTTTCACAAAGATCACGCTATTCGACACCCCGTCCGGAATCACGTAAAGAAGAGTGTGAAAATGGGAGACCATCTTCCCAAAACTCTTCATTGCCTGTTTGGAAATGATGTTTCGATGGATAAATTGGAAGGGTGGTATCAACATCAAGGGTTAACAACTCAACCATCTAAGGTGTGTTTTGCGGAAAACGCCAGCTAACAAAAAGACATGCTGCAAGAGTTCGACAGAAAAACTGCACAAGTCTAACTGCGAATCAATCAGTGTCATAAATGAAGATATTCATATCGAATGACCTATCGAAAACCCAAGCAATATTAAATGTCTAAAAATCAAAGAATAACTGTATAGATACATTTATGTGGGCCATGATATCAAATGTGGCATAAACATGCTGCAGGGATCAAACAGAAAATGTGGGCACCGACTGGTGTGCGGTCCATGTCAAAGCCATAAGGAAAGAAATCGCGGTCACGTCTTCAATTCTATCATCCTATCGGAAACATGTACTGCTATGACGCGTGATTCATTCACCAGAATGATAAGCAACAGCCATCTGTTACCAGGAGCCACAGAAAAGAATGCTCGGAATCGTCGCGATCAAATTCCGAACGATATGGCGTAGCGACCACATCGAACAGAGTGAAAGACGTCGCCGTCGAAAGCAGATATGAGAAGCTACGGTGGACTGGGAGGGTAGCTCGGCTCACCGACGAGAGATTGTCGTTGATGATCGTCGGCTGGTACCCCTCGCGATCAGACTAAGCCGCTGGGTTGCTTACCGTGACGGTGGATGAAGACCACAAGGAATGGCAGAGCGCCGCAGCAGGCCAGACACAATTAGTCGTCGATTACTGGGCGACCAACGTGATCCAAGTGAAGCCATATAAAAGTTGAAGTAAAATTATTTTATTAAATTCACTAGGGTGTCTTAACACATTACCAAGTAACTTCCGGAAATACTAAGTTAGATAATCAAAGAACATTGTTGCTGAAAACAAAACCCCACCTGAAAAGTTGGAGAAGATGTATGATCGTGGATAAGCTTGAACGACATGTAGTAGGGAAGCAAAGATAAAGTGAAGGAACAGTGCGAAAGGATGTGCGAGATTGTGCAACACGCGGCACATGAACCAGACGCCCCTCGATGAGGAGAGAAAGTCGGCATCAACAAACAAA